CTTGTTTCACACTCTCCCAGCCTCTTAATCCAACACCCCCACCAAGAGTAAAATTTCACTAATTTCTGAATTACTGCATATCCCCCTGACTTGTTACCGAGAATGTTTGGAAGGTGAAAGGCTGCTGAAAACAACACATCAAACTTCACAATAAAAACATTAAACTTAACATGTCAAATGGGTGGTCTGAATTTGGGATGTTTAAAGCACGTTAGCATCCAGGAATGAATGCACGAAGCCTTGGCACAGAGAGATACTGAACTTCTCTCTGAACCCCAAATTCTCTCATTTTCCCCTTTTAGGGGTCCTGAGCAGAGCTGTCTGATGTGCTTTAAGACAGGACCAAGCATTTGCTTCTTTGCTTCCCATTCCTGCTGATAACAATCCGATGCCCCTGAGTACTCGTGGGCACAGCACTAGAACCCTGAGTACAACTCTCTCCTCGCTCAGACACGTTTCCCATGGATGGCTTCTTATGCACGACTTTTGTGCAGAAAGAGAATTCTTGCCCATTTCGTGTCTCAGGAAACTGTGGTGACCAAGAACGCTGCCCTAGGGCATCCACAGAGGGAGCCCTCCCCTCCTTGCCTGCCTGCGGGTGAACGTTACTTTCCACAGGGCTTTACAATCAGCTAGGTATTTAAAGAGGCCCATTAAGCTGTTCCCTGGGCCAGGAGACTATTTATAGCACAGAGCAGCCGTCAGGCATTCGGATGCACCCAGCAAAGCAAGCCACTGTCTCAGGAAGCGCTTCTGTGGGCCTGAGGTTATGCTCGCTGGCGGGAAGGGAAATCCAGATCACATCCTCAAAATGGTACATCTGTGCTGGCAGAAGAGTAGAGGCTTCCAGTTCATGGTGAGAAAAACTCATTAGCTAAAGAAGTTCACAGTGATTGTAAACAGGTTTTATGCACAGATCATTATGTTGCCTTCACTTTTTTTTCCCTCCAAGTCCTGTCTGTCAGGAGGACCTTCCCCGCAATCCGGAGAAGAGATTCCACATTCCCGAAAGCCTGCCTCCGGACTCTGAGCTCAGAGATGAAAGTGAACAACATTCACTCAGCAAAGACGTCCTGGGCACCTCCTACGTGCCAGACACTGTTCTAAGAGGATGGGGTGTGACCATAGAGCCCTGTCCTGGACACGCTGACGGTGAGAGGGTGCTGGTCTGTCTTGATGTGATGAGTATGCGCCTGCCTTTGGCAAGCTGGCTCATCTGCTGGCTGTCAAGACTTTACCTTTTCACAGAGCCAAAGCCAGCCTGGAGAGGCTTTCCCTCCATCTACCTTGGTAGGGAGAGAGAACCGTGGCCTGCCAGCCGGGCCTTCAGAACCACAGCCATCAGCACCACCACACCTCAGGTCCTGAAGTCATCTGTCTAGAAAAAACAAACACATCTCAGGTGTCAGAGAAGCACTGCTTTCCTCTTTTCCGAAGCCACTGGGGGATGGCGGGGAAGGGGGAGGACTGGCCTGTGGCTTTCCTTTCCTGAGGGAAAGGTTTGGAGGCTCTGCACTGCTACTACAAGGTCTCTGAGGTTTGGCTTCCTCCCCAGCAAGCACCCAGCAAGGTGCAACTCACAGGCCTACACCGAGGCCCCAGGTGGGAGGCTCCCTAGGGGACCAGAGCTGGGGACCCTCCCTGAAAACCTGAAATCAGATGGGGAGTTACAATAACTGGCCTCTCCTGCCTGTGTCACGCTTCCTGGGCTGGGGAGCTAAGCTGGGGGGGGGGGAGGGCAGCGAGAAGGAGCCGTTTGCCATTAATCTGGGAACAAACGGCTAACCTCGGTGACTGGAATTCTCGCTTTTCTTTTCTCACTTTTCTCAGTGTGGGGAAGCGCGGAGCCCGCGCGGAGCGATTGTGAGGGGCTCTGCTGGAATTTGGCAGCGCGGAGGCTTGGAGAGCAGCCCCATGCTGGCTCCTATTCAGCCGGCCAGTTCTCCTCGAGCTTTGGAAGTTTCGCTCAGCCGTGCACTCAATGGCTTCACAAAGCTGATTACAAGCTTCAGCGCATTCCTGAAGGAGCCAAAAGCGACGCAGGTGCAAACGAGCCGAGGGAGCCCCTTATCCCGGTGACAGAATGGGACAAGCTGGGAAAGGCTTGGACCACACAAATCCAAGCTCACCAGGCAGCAGAAAGCCTGCCTTGGGAACCGGGGGTCATTATCCGCCCTATTCAGCGGGGCCCAGGGACCCCGGGGGCTCGGAGGCCGCCCCGCTCCGGAGTGCCGGCGTGCCCTCGGCAGTGGGGTCCCCGGGGGCCTGGGGCCCGCGGAGGGCAGTGCGCTTGCACCCACGGGGTCGGGGAAATCTGTGCTCCGACATGCCCGTGTCACATCAGTAGGGACACGGGAGAAAAAGCGCGCAGGAGGCCACCGAGCGTGCAGACAGCGCGCAACGTGTGTCCACCCAGCGTCCAGACCGCACTGCCCTGTCTCTGCCCCGGTGTGGCTGCGGCCCCCCGAAGGCCCCCCCGCCGCTGACACTCAGCTCCAAGGGTCACTCTGCGCCCTGTCTCTCCCAGTCCCCTTTCCCATCGGTTCTCCTGGCGACCGGGTCCGGGCGGGGGCAGCCGCCAGAGGGCCGGTGAGGGTGGGGCAGGTCGTGGGGTCGCCCCTTGGAAGGGCTCTGGACTCGGCAGGACGCCTTTGCTGCGAGTGTGATTCCGGGGCAGGAGGAGGGCCGGCCCGGCCCCTCGGGGAGAACCGAGGACGTCCTGGCTGGCTGGCGCTGGAGGACCGGAGCAGGGCCCGGGGGGCGGGGGGCGGGGGCGGGGGCGGGGGACGCGGGCCCAAGACCCGGAGGAGGCCGGGGAGCCTGCGAGCGGGGAGGAGGCACAGGGGTGGAGCTGGCACGCGGGCGTCCTTGGGGGGCGGCCGCCAGCCCGCGCCAGGTGCCGGGCGGTGAGTGCGGGCGAGCTGGGCGCTGGCGTCCGCGCGTGGGCCCCGGACCGGGGTCCGCCTGGTGCGCGCCCCCTGGCCGCGCGCCGGACCTGGATGCGCCCGGGGGTCCTCGCGGGCAGGGCCCGGGCAGGGCGCTCGCGCCGACGCTCTTTTGTCTGATAACTAATTTGAGTTAATGCGATCTTTATGTAAAGCTAACAGCGGATAATTGTCTATTTTCTCGCCAACAATCTCCATCACAATCACTTATCTGGAAACCTGCGGCTGGATTAATCGTTATATTCCCGAGATGAGCGTCTGCTGCAATCCGCAGCGAACGCCAGTGAGGACGGGGAGGTGCCTCCCGGCGCTTGCGGGGCCGCGTGCGGGCCATCCCGGCTCCGGGCCGCCGCCGGGTGCGCCCGGGCCTGGTGCCCACGCGCGGGGCCGCAGAGCGCCTTCCGCAGGGCTCGCTGGTACGCGGGCGGGGGACGGCGCGGGAGGCGGAGGGGGCGAGCGGGGGAGCGGCGGGAGGGGGCGTCCTGGGGCCCTGCGGGGCGGGGCGGGGCGGGGCCGGGGCGCGGCGCTAGGGCTTGCCCAGGCGGCCTCCAGGTCCACGCTGCGGGGCAGTTGTCGGTGCCAGAATCACGTCTTCTGATGTGGGAGAAAGCATGCCCCCACCCCTTATTTTCCGCAGAAGAGGTTCTCCCTGCCTTTCCGGGGGTCCCTGTAGCTTCACAACGCCCTGCCCCTGCTACCTGCGGTCCCTCCAGCTGCATCCCGGCACCTGCAGATCATTGGCAATCTTTGCACTCCCATGACTGAAGTCTCCACGGAGAGGCCCTGGGGTGTGGAGGCGCGCCCCAGGGCCGCAAGCCCCACTCTGCCCCTGAGCTGGGGGTGAAATGCATCTGCAGGTGGAGCCGCGTTCTCGGGGAAAGGCAGGACCAAGGTGAAAACAGCCGTGTGCAATGAAGTCCGCACGGTGGTGGCGGTTCTCTGTGCGTGTGATTCGCCCCGCGGACTCAAGTGTGACCCTGACTTGGGAAGCCAAGTGCCATGTGTCTGGTAACTTGGAAGTAAACTCATTCTGTTTACTTCAACTCAGATTTGTCAGCCAAGGGAGCACCAAAAGCCACTTTTCAAAATGGTGTTTTTTGGAAAAGAGAAACTCAGTCTCCGTTTGTGACAGTTTTTGGCCTCAGAGAAGGAAACTGTTTCTTTCCCTTTTGGCAGACTCGGAGAATTCTAAGAGCAAAGGCACACACTGAAATAAAAATGCCATAAATTATTGGATTTTTGCATAAAGGAAGACCCCAAATTACCCCCCAAATAGTGCATTGTAAAGTCCTGTTAAAAGCCCCCAAGTCTTCAATTTTCCTCTCCAACAGCTTGAGGAGGTCTCTAAAGGCAAACTAGTAAATCCGCCCTTCCAGCGGGCAAGCCCCGCCCCCACCGAGGTTCCCAGGGCAGCTTTTTGTTGTGGCCTTGGGGAATCACCCCACTTCATCTCTCACCTGAATCTTGTCATCCCGGCCATCTTGAAGTGATCTGTGAACAATGCTGATCCCTGCGACAGACCCGCTGGTCAGTCAGGCAGAACAGACTATGCAGATGGAGGAGAGAGGCGAGGCCCCGGGAACACTGCGCCCATTGTCTTGGGCATTTCAAAGCGCAGAGCAGCTGCGCAGACTTGTCGCCCTGGATCCTCGCTTGCCACACTAATGTCATCATTGCAAAACATCAGATTTTGAGCACTATACAATCCGAATTCATTAGCAGCCTTTTCGGCAAAGGTCTCTCTTCTCCGTGACAAGTTTCAAACTCCAGATCCCCTTCTGTCGGGAGGGGAAGGGGCAGGGCCGCAAGTGACAGCCACTGACGATCCATAGTTCTCTTTCTGGTGAATTCGCAAACTGAAAAACCTCCTTGAGGTTCAGAGCTCAGACGTCTGGCTCAAGTGACTGAGATTATGAGGGTGGTTTTTTTTTTTTTTTGTTTTGTTTTTTGTTTTTTTTTTTTTTTTTTTTTTTTTTTGCATTTTCTAAGTGTTCCTGGCAAGTTTAAACCACCAAGAGCAGCCAGTGGAACAGGTGGAGTGCATCTAACAAACACAGCATCTTCTGCGCCAGGGATAACGCACTGAGAGTTCTTGACGTTTTTTTCTTTAGATTGAACGCAGAACAACACATATTAGAGTAGCTGTGCCCCAAAACAAACAAGTTATACCAGGCAGCACTCCTCAGCAGCACTGCTACAAACAGCTCGCCATCCTTGAGCACCACCAGACATGGTCCCAGCCGCAGGGACTGCTACTCCCAGGGCTGTGGCCACCATGCTTCTCCCTCTCCTCCCTGCCTTGTGCTCCCACCCCCACCCTCCAGGGTGACCTTATTTTCCAGAACCATGGGCAGGAGGGGCAGGCTGTGCTGGAGGGTCCAGGGCATCCCCCTGCATCCCACTGCATCCCCGAGGTCAGGTCCAGGTCCGAGGGAGGGCCCAGTGCTGGCGAAGTCTGCTTCCCTCCTCCAACCACCGACCTATGTTAATATGTCCTTCTGCCTCTTTACTCAGGATTCCGTGTAGATCCATCCTCTCCCTTCCTCATCCTGGGCTGGAAGTTTTTCCCAGAAGGCAATCAACACCAAGAGAGGCTCTAGGTCATTCCCAGCCCCCAGCTGAGAAGCACATGTGCAGATGGAAGACACCCCAGGGCCAAGTCTTCCCTGGTGCCAGAGGCCCCCTGGCACCCCTCAAAGCCTCTTCGGGTACCTCTGATTTCTTGACAAACTGAAGGGTAGGATTTGGAAGGGGTGCAATCAAATACAGTGTTTGTAAACATAAGGAGATCCAGAAGTAAATGGAGAGGAGGCCCTGTTGGTGTGTCTTGTTTGGGGCTGGGAGGGCAGGTGGGATGGGCCCAGCCTAGTAATCTGGTTAAATGTGTCACCTTTAGGAGATGACCTAGAACACTCCTTTTTCTCCCTGGAAAACTGTAGGACTTGGACCCTGCTGCTGCTCATGGACGTGTCTGAGTGTCTTCCCATGTCTTCCTGCGTCCATGTGCCCAACCTCTCCCACCAGGTCCACCACAGCTGGGGCAGGGCTGGAAGCCACAGGTACTCGGAGATCCTGCCTGTGGTACACACACAGGATGATGTGGGTCCAGCCAGGGGAGACCAAGTTTTTGCAGGGATCTCTCCGGGGTGTAGACAGCATCTGGTTCATTGGGAGTATCCAAAATAGGTTTGCTGAAGGACTGATGAGGCCCTAGCCATGGGTGGAATGAATGGCCACAGGAAAAGCTGCAGTGGCCCACATGGGCCTGTTCCTGGCAGACGGCCAGGCCCCTAACCCTGGGCTGTGAGCCTAGATGCACCTACCTTGCTCCCCGCTGAGCCACATCCTCACACACCCTCACACTCACAGCCCCACCCAACGCACGCAGTGTGCACTCACGTTCGTACAAACACCCAGAGGCGCCTGGGGATCCTGGGGTCCTCTGGCACAGGCTGGCTGAGGGGGGCGGTGGCCAGTGACCCCCGGCTCCTCATGGCAGGGAAACCACACTCTGGGAAGAATACTCTGTTGGCTACACACACAAGGATGAGTGAGCTGATCTTTACAGAATTCAACACATCAGCGGTAAAGTGATGCCTGTGGAGGACAAGTGTGGGTTGTTTCTTGACCCTTTCCCCTGGGCTTTCAGAGCAGGTCCTTCTGAGCTTGCCAGAGGGGCCTGCGTTACCACTGTTTCTCATGCTTCCACATTTGTTCTTTCTCCCAGCGTGTTTTCCCTGGCCGCCCACCCACACTCTGTGCCCTGCGGCCCCTGAGCATTTAGACATGGCCAGTCCACGTGGAGGTGTGCAATGAGCATGCAAGACACCAGCTGTTCAAAATGTGATGGGAAAGAAAGCACATACACTACCCCACCGATCATTTAAAAATCGTGTTTTCATGCTGAAATGACTGTATTTCGGATATATGGGGTAAAATAAACACATTTTTGAAGTTAATTTCACTTGCTTCTTCCACTTTTTAAAAATGTGGCTTTTGGGGCATTTTAAGTGACCCACGTGGCTCCCGATTGTGGCTTGCTCCGTGAGGCAGCCTTCGCCTTTACCTCTGCTCCTCCAGGAAATGGAAGAGGGAAAGCAAAGACGGAAATGCTGAGCACAAGGGTTAGGGGGAGGCAGAGCAGAACCTGCCCTGTTACAGTTGCTTTTGGAAGATGATGTATTATTAAGGCTCCTTTTCTTCCAGGAGAATGCGCAGTGGGGGTGGGGTGGCAGTGCGCATTGTACTTTATTGCTTGCTTCATTTTCTCTCCATTTTAACTTTAATTCTGCCTAATTGCTGTATTGTGATCGCAGTTGGCAATCTTAAATGAACTCTCAAATAACTTTTGAGGAATCTGGCTACAAATGTTAGATCATGATGAAATGTAAATCACAAAAGGTTATTGTGTAATGTCCACACAGGCCCCAAGCAACCCTTTCCTGTCATTTTCAAATTTCAGGTCAGCGTTTGGGTGTTTTTCGGCTGTTCCCCTTCCCTTGGGAGGCGTTACCACCACCACCACTGCCGCCACCACTGCCATCTGAACAAAACAAACAAACAGCAGACCTGAGCAAGAAGCTACAGCCCCTGAAAGTGCTTTCTGCAGAGCAAGAATGGAATTGCTTCCAGATTTGTTGACTTCTATGATTGACTCATAGCTTTAAAAATCTGTGGAGTCACACCTTGGTCAAAAATATTACAATAAAACATTTGCAAACATTTTTAATTTTAAATACAGTATCTTTAAATGGTCCATGTTAACATCTTAGAGACAAGATTTCTACAAGTAAAGTTACAAAACTTAGAAATCATATTTCATCTTTTGATAATAGCAAGAAAAAAGACACTGCTGAGAATATTGTTTATAGTAAATTCAGTATAACTGCGAACATTCTACATGCATGTAAACTTGATATGCACACACTGTATTTTTACATATTTACTTTTGGAGTATTATATAATTAATGAAGAATCGATTCAGCAAAACTGTGAGTTGAGTCTACTTTGCCAATAAATTGGGAGTATCTCATAAACAATTTTGGGTAAAATTTAGAAATTATTTTTATCATAAAAGGAACTCTCCTGTTACTCATTGTTAGTATGTCCACTTAATGTTCTATTTTTGGCCAAATTAAATTTAACTAAAGGAAAAGGAAAATGTAGAGTACCAAGAATGATCAAGATTCTGTGGGTAAGTTAATTAAAATGGTTTATTCTTTGTACTAATTCCTTGGAAAATATCACTCTTGTTATATGAGACTTGTGTTCAATTAATAAGAAACTAATAGAAATAGTTATTTAATCTGACTTCCTGTTGTTTATTTTTTAAAGCGTATCCAGGGAAATAACTAAATATATAACATGTACCTTGCTGAAGAGCCACTGACATTCCATTAGAAACTCAGGTGACCTCACTCTGGATGTGTAGGATGGCATATTTATTAGTATGACAGGTGGTTTATTTCCATGATGATTCATGTTTGCTGTCATTGAACTTACTGGAATAACTATAGAAGCAAACTGTAAGAATTTAACCACTTACTGTCAACCTTGCTCTTCTACTTTTTTGGGATCATCCCAGAGTAGAAGAACCAAACATGATTAAAAAGCATCGAGGAGAGAAATCCAGGCACGTGGCCCCCAGACTGGCAATATGAAGATTCTACATGCTAGCAAAGTTCCCCGTTAATTTGTTCTGCTTCTTTAATATGCAAATTGCGTGGCCTCATTTGCTCCATCATATTATAAAACTAGAAAGATTCCATTCATTTTCCTGTTTTTCTTTTTCCCCTAAAGACGATAATGGTCATACACTTTCAAATATTTGCAGACAAGATATTCTGGATAAATAATCTAAGATTAGCTAAATTAGGTCAATGTCCATACAGGGCCAGTGAGATATGTCCCTTGTGTTCAAATTATCTGGTGTCAGCTACATTGATTGAAAAAGCAGTACCGACCAAAAAAAAAAAAAAGTCTTATTACAAGATATCTCAAAAACAGATAAGAAAGCAACGAAGCCCTCTCGTAAATGAGGGAGCTTATCTAGATTTTAATATGGTGGTAAGCAAATTGTACATGTTTTTGCAAGTTAGACAACTTACGTGGGAAGCGGACATTTCTCAAGTTTCTGTGATTCTAAGCCAGTCACTATAGTTTGCATATCCGCCCGTTTCTCATGGGTCTTTGTTCTTTTCTTCAAAAGACATTCCATAGAAAGGCTAAAATATTATCAAATTTGAGGCACATTGTCTGGACTGTTTAACTCCTTCTAGGATGGACAGGAGGTTGATGATGCCCAAGAACCTCTGTGCGAGGGCCCTTCCTGCTTATCTGTTTAGTTTCGTTACCTAACTTCACTCACTGTCTCTCTCTGAAAACTGCCAATAATATTGATAAGATTCCTCGTAAATAGGACCGAAACAAGAGCTAGAAAAGAAAGTTCTTGAGCCTTTTCTATAGAGATCTTGCTGCTGGAATCAGAAGGGTCTTGCAGGTGATTCTCAGAAGCTGCAGTCATGGTGGACAGGAGTGCACACCCCGCTCTAGCCCCATCCTCTCAGGAAACTTCTCTCACCAAAGCTTATGTCATTGTTCCTCCTGTTGCTGTTAGAATTTATTTACTATCACAAAAGAGATTTTAAAAGTTGATGATTTGATCTAATTAATAGAATGACTGATTGGTAAATATGTTTCACGAACACACACTGACTAGTCTGACAACAGGGGTGCCATCCCATTTAAAAATCACTATATTTAGAACATATTTCTACATGGCAATAACTGTGATAGACTTTATCTTCAGGTTTATGCCACCTCTCTAATGTAAACATACTGGCTCAGGCATGCAATAAATTGTAATGAAATAAATCCAAGCGGAAAATCCGACAGCCTGAGGCTGAACGTTCATGACTACACTCTGATAGGACAGTGAGCACTTCGGAGAGGAATGTTGCACGAGCAACAGCTGCGGGTGGATATGAACTCTGGGAAAACAGCTGCCAAAACAAAAATAGAAAATCAAAATAAATCAGAGTTTGAGGTCTGGAATAAAGAATTTTTTTAATTCAAAATACTACACTGTACATGAGGATGAGGGCTGCTAACTGCCCAGCTCTGCTGCTCACAGGTCTGGTCTGGGCAAGGTGACACCCTCGCCCCCAACTGTGTTCTCATTGCAGCATCCAGGCTCTAGCCACCAGTGTGCAGCTACTGGGTCTGCTTTGGGCAGGTGCACCAGGGCCACTGGCACACCTGCGCAGATGGAAGTCAGCAAGGCTACGACCTGGTCCCTAACCCTTCTCTCCCTTACCCAAGTGGCAGGAACTTGCACTATATGGTAATGATTTGACTTTAGAGTTTTGAAGGCTAGTTCACAATACGCCTGGTGTTCAAACCACAGACACACTTCTAGCTGAAGGGTTTGCCAGCCTTTGGCACTTTATTTGGTGTGACCTTTCCTAGGCTTTCTGGCTCTTCTGCACCTAGACCTCCATGTGTGCTAACACCAGGGTTTGCATCTGATAAGCAGGAGCAGTGCTCTGAGCTCTCCTCCACACCCCTCAGCTGTTGTGGTGAAGCCCCTTTCTGTGCTGGGAGAGTGATACTCCACTGGCTCTCTCCTGCTGCTCCAGACAATGCACATTTTGTGACAGCAGGTGGATGGAGGGGCATCCTCTCTTTTTGTGAGCCAAGCTCCAGTTTGCAGCTCCTTCCTCCTAGATCTGGGTAGGCCCAGGGCTTATGGCTTGTAAGAACTAATGTTTCAGGTGCTTCTCTCTCAAGGAGAAAAGATGGAGTGGAGAGAGTTCTGGCTAAGCTCATCCTGTAACAGCATCTTCCTGCAGACCTGTAGCATGGTCTTTTACATCCAACCTGCAAATGTTAAGAGATACCTTCACTGGGATTTATTCATAAACTGCAACAGTAACTTCTATTTCTTTCCATAAGAAAGCAGAAGACTATAGGGTTAGGAGTTCATCCAATGGATATTTTTTAGATATCTATTACATACATGGTACTCTGCAAAGTATAACATACGGAACTAAAAAAAGATCCTGGTTATGATCCACGCCTTCAAGAAAATTTCAAAAGAAGAAAAAGGAAAGAAATTCTCAACTGTGAAGGCAAGAGAGCAAACACCCAAACGCTGTGCAGTCTGGCAATGCGGCGGCAGGTCATACTCACCGAGGGCGGTGGGCATCTGCTTCTGGCCAGGTCACAGATGGCATCCAGAGAAAGTCTTCAAGAAAGAGGAGGGGAGAGAATGGCATTCCAGGTGGAGAACAGCATTTGCAAAGGTGCAGAGGCTTAAAAGAGGAAGTCTCTGTGAAGGGAGTGCAAGGATGTATACAGGAATGAATGCCTTAATCATTCCGGGAGGAGAGTTGGGAGCTGCCCAGGGGAGATGGCATTTGCTCAGGGCCTCAAAACCAAGGCCACTTCTGGGAAGCCTGAGTAGCTTCTCTGGGCAGAGGGAGCAAGATAGCGTATGGGAGCTGCAGTGTGCTTGGGGTGGGGGCCGCCCCTGAGTATGATTGGCACTGAAGACTTGGAGCATGTGAAACAGGTGATGATGCTGGGGAAGGTCAAGCTGGGGAAGGGGGGAGCTCGATCATACTGCATGAATGTAGTTCATGATTCTATGTGATTCATGAAACTGCACGATTCTCCATCAGCAGGGACCTGATGAACGATTCTGAGCAGATGCATGAGGTTTGCAGTTATGGGCATGTTGCCATGCCCAAGATATCTCACTGCTGGGGCCATTTGCTTCTTGGTCCTTGAGAATTGTCATTGACAAGAATCTGAGAGCAACTGAACCCAGACAGAGGGAGAGACAGAGAGAGATTGATAGACAGAGATAGGAGAGAGAGATAAAGAGAGAGACACAGAGAGAGGGAGACAGGATGGCCACAGGAGGAGGGAGGGGTTTGAGTTGTGGCACTGGGGCCCCTGGAGGCAGATGGTCATGATATAAGGTGATAAAAGGAGGCCTATGTTGTTCTCCAGCCGATCAGAGAGGAGGGAGGCATGAGGGACTGAGGGCAGGCCAGCCGCAGCCAGGTTGCTGAGCAAGGGCCATGCAGGGGTACAGGGCTTGGGGCTCAGGACAGGACCCACCACCCTCCCATGTGGGCTGTGCCTGCAGGTGCGTGGGAAGCAGGACAAGTCAGACACCATCCTGCGCTCAGGAGCAAGAGGGCTCCGCAGACATGAGGTTTGTTGGGTAGGAATATTTTTCCAGGCTTTTTGAATAGCAAAATCAAATTACCAAAGTTAAACATAAAATGCTTATCCTGCCATGATGGGCTTTTAATTAAAAGTTGGTGATAAAGTGCAAATACTTTAATTAAAGCCTACATATTTATCGATGTCATTTTCTGTTGATTTTTCAGTGAATTAAAGACATGAAAACCAGATGAAACTACAGAGTTTCGAAGAGACCTCTCAATACTTTTTGTATTCTGATCTGGAAAAGTATTTCCACTTTAAACCTTGTTAAAGCCACACTTGAAACACCCATGACTTAACAGTTAACACACACACACACGCACACACGGAGAACACATGGAGATGGTGTATCCATTCAAGATGAGGTTTTCCCTGCTTCTGATTTAACTGGTGGGAGAGCAGATGCAAGACAGGGCTGGTGGTGTGAAGCGTGTCAGCTCCCATGTCTCGCCCCACGTACCCCTTGCCCTTGGAGCTGCGAGCTGGGCTCCTAGCCTTCGACTGGAGGAACTTATAGGATCTGCACCACAACCAACATGCTATTTTGCATCCTGGCTGTGACCTCCTTCCTGATGGGGACTCTTGAGTGGGGGCTCAGGTTTCAGATCCACACGACCTGGCCCCAAAGACACACAAGCACTTGGCCTTGAGGCTTCACAGACTTTCTGAAGATA